TTATAAAATCTATTATTAATGTTTTGTTTTTACTTTGACTGTATTTTTTATTTCTATTGTAATGATCCTTGTTTTCGTGTGCCAATGGCCAAATAAATGCATTTTCTTTCTTTCTCCAAATGTCACGTGTGCACCCGTTGAATCATAAGGAACGCGGACGTTCGACGGGTTAAACAGTTTCTGTTAATAACGTAAATGGCATAAAAACTAATAAAATGTTTATCATTGTTCTAAGTACGTACGAATTAGCTACAAAAAACGTAATTTTAATATAATAACATCCCTATTATTTACTCTATTTACTTATAATTGCTATAAATTGCATCACGATTCACACTACAAACCTGAGAAACGATTATGAAGAAATTACACCTGTTGTCATGCGAATTTCTATGGGCAATTATCTATCTAATACCTTTAAACGAGGTATCCTTCTGTATATGTATCAACTATTTATTTATTCATTTATTTATTTATTCATTTATTTATTTATTATAAAATTCTTCCTTTTTTTTTTTTTTTAAGGGGGGAAAATCATCGAATGACTGCTCCTGCCTGGGTGAGGCGGAAGGGAGTGTCAGTCTCTTACTGAATAAAAACCACCCCGTCCCTTCTCCTGTGGTTCGATTTCTTCCTACACTCTCATTACAGGATTTTCCCAATTCGACAGTGAGGCTTAATCTATCTCTACAGCTATAACCATTTTCTTAAAATCCTTACTAATATTATAAATCGGAAAGTGAGTTTGTTTGTTTGTTTGTTCCGCTTTCACGCCGTAACTACTAAACCGATTGCTTTGAATTTTTGCAGACGTAAAGTTAGAAGTCCGGATTAAATAATAGGGTACTTTTTACCCCGGAAAAATTTGATATTCCCGAGGGAAAACAAAAGTATTGGTATAGATGGCGCTGTATGTATTGGTATATGTCACATAGTCTACTTTTTATCCTTTTGTGACGCGTGCGAAGCCGCGGGTAAAAGCTAGTTTTATATACATTATATATTGCGTTCCGGGGGCAATAAATCCATCTAGCCAGGTCTAATTTTCAGGTTCTTTTTTTTTGATAACAGGTGTTAAAAAGGCAAAAACTTTGTACCTACAGCAACGCGGCCATTGCTCGGCCCCTGTGTCGAACACAGGTCAGTTTGGTCGGCAAACAAAAAACAATTGGTAGACTCGAAATGTATAACGATACAATCATATAGATCAATGTATTTCATTAATATTTGCATGTCATGTCAATTAAGTCATCAAGCTGGAGTTCCTGTTAATATTCTTATTTTTTGTACAACCGGAAATATAGATATCATACATTTGTAAACGGCTTAATTATAATCTGATTTAGTAACATGTAACAGGCATAAATAGTAAATGATCATCAGAATTGAACCCCATTTTAATTTACAACTAAAACCAAAAGGACAATGCTCGAAAATGTATGGAGCAGAAACTATAATGTATATGTGACTGCCTCGTTGGCCGAGTGGTCGCAAGTGTGACTGCCGGGCAAGGGGTCTCGGGTTTGATTCCCGGGTCGGGCAAAGTTATTAACTGTATCACCTAACTGAGCCAAAAGGGGGGTTTGCATAGTTCAGCAATTGATTGACCCTGAAAGAAGACCATTAAAATACCCAGGACATGTAGCTCCAACCAAACAAGTGGCTTATTATTTTCGAATATATTGCCATAGTGCAGAATAACAAAAAAAAGTAGCACGGAGTCTAGAGTTGTGCCCGGTATAAGGCAATAGGCTCACCCCCTATTACATGGCCTCATAACATGAATAGTGAAAAGTGGGTGTTACATTGTACAGTGGCATTAAGTATCGTCGTAATGTGCTCCTCTACCTATCCCTTCGGGGATAAAAGGCGCGATGTTATGTTTATTCTAGTTTCTTCTACATCGTGGTACATAACTTGGAAAATCTACAGGTTTAAGAGGTTTGGTTATAATTCTCGGAAATGTTATTCCTTGTCAGTATTCTTCGCTTTCATTAATCTAGTATCAAACATAGAATGACAATGATTCATGCGCCCATACAAAATTGTACCTACCTAATATTCTGCAGACTCCTGGCTCATTCGGTTTGTCTTTGGACTTTTCGTTTTGACGAATAGCGTATTTGTGACTTACTTATAATATATGACATTTTAGCAAAGGAACAGTTTGGTTTCAGAAGATGCAGATCTACACAGTTGGCCACCTACACATTAGTAAACAGCATTATTAACAATATTAACAATGGAATTCCCACATCCGCCTTACTATTAGATTTGAGTAAAGCATTTGACTTTGTAGATCATTCTTTACTCCTTTCAAAATTAGCTAATTGTGGAATTAGAGGTTCATCACTGTCATGGTTTCGATCATATTTGCAAAATAGAAAACAGCTTACTAGAATAACTAAATTTGACAAAAAAAGTAATAGCGTAGTAAAATTCGATTCTCAAGCAAGAGTCAACTATTTTGGTGTACCTCAAGGTAGTATTTTGGGGCCTTTGTTATTCCTTATCTTTGTCAATGATCTCCCACGTGCGCTTATACACGATTGTGTCTTATTTGCGGACGACACAACAATTATTTTGGATTGCAAAAATAGGGCTACATATGAAGCTGACATAAATAAAACATTAGATGATGTTATTAGGTGGCTTAGTATCAACAAATTAAAAATAAACATAGAAAAAACTAAAATTATTAATTTTAAAACATTTAAAAGCAAAACTATCGAACTAAATTTAAGTTATAATAATACGCTTATTCAGCAGATTCATAATGCCAAATTTTTGGGTGTAACTCTTGACTCTCATTTCACGTGGAAGGAACATATTAACAACTTATGCAAGAAAATTAACAAGTTTGTCTTTGCACTTCGGAAAATAAAAGACGTAACATCAATTCAAAGTTCCATTATGGTGTATCATGCATATATTTGTTCCATAATACGTTATGGTATCGTCATATGGGGAAACTCCTCTGAAATTACTAGGGTCTTTGTGGCCCAAAAAAAGTGCGTTCGTGCATTGTTTGGCATGGGATGGTCGGATTCTTGCAAACCCGTATTTAAATCTAAAGGACTGTTGACTGTTCCTAGCATTTATATTTACGAAGTGGCTAAGTTTGTGAAATATCATAGTTATTTGTTCATTGCTAACGATAATGCTAACAGACGCTTGATCACTCAGCTGCCCCTGAAAATGCCCATACCTAAACTGGAGCTTTACAGAAAAAGTTGTGCATATATGGCGCCGCTCATATTTAACTGTCTGCCCCGAGGAATTAGCAAGCTGCCATATAAACCGTTTTGTCGTGCCTTACAAAAGTGGTTGGTTCAGGAGAGTTTTTATTCTACCCGAGATTTCCTAAGTAACAGTAGCTGTCGGTATGCAGCTTTTTAAATCATTGTATCATCGTGCTAATCAGTTGCCTCCATGTTTTTTGACCAAAATTAATTATAAATTGCTAACCTGACTTCCTGATTTGTTGTGACTATTAATATATTGACTTTTTAGTATATTACAATTTGACTACTGATACATAATGACATCTTAATTTTATGACATCTCTAATTTCTTTCTGACTTTACCTGTTTTAATGTATTTGAATTGTTTCCAATAATAATAATAATAATTTCAATATAATTGTTCATTAATGCGACATAAATTAATATTGTTAATACAATTTTATATTTCTACACCGGTAACGGTAGTATGTGTGGAACTCTGTTAATTTTAAGATCTGTGTGCACCATGTACTGAGAAATAAAGGACATTCATTCATTCATTCATTCATTCATTCATTCATTCATTCATATTAAATTGTACACGTTTACTTATACTACAATTGTTGACGTTCAAAAGTGCCTTCCTGGTCTAATTGAAATAAATGATTTTGACTTTGACTTTACATGAATGATTTTAATGACTAAATTGGATCCGCAGTTTAATATAGAATTCACCAATGACGCAGCCCCGCTTTGCGGTGCTCCTATTTCTGATTGCATGGTGTGAAGTAATCTAACGAATGACATGACGGTAGCTTAAGTTTGCTTGCTCCGCCCGCCCACTACAGCGTCCGTCATGTCAATCTAATCTATCCGTCTCTCGCGGAGAACCTAATGGGTAACCGGGGCTACGGCTCGACGTGCAGAAGAAGGAACGGGGTGGTTTTTAATCAGTAAAAGTCTGACACTCCCTCCCGCCTCACCCAGGGTGCAGTAAATCGATGATTTTCTCCCCTTAAAAAAACCTATCCGTCTACCATGTCAGGCTGCCATCAAAGATGAACATTTAGTACATTTTTGTTGTTAAGGCAACAGAACGTATGGTATCAAAGTATTTTCTGGTGGTCATAATATTATAATCACTTTGTAAACTCACCGCAGAGCAGTACGGAGCGCCATCAGTTTGTGTTAGGTAGTTTTAGTCATTCAGAGCCTGACTTTGTCATCTCCAGTCGAGGGAGCTCCCTTAGAAATTCCATTGTGAGGTATAAACTTTAACCGACGGTGTTTAACACAGGACAGCATATTTTTTTCAGGATTTCTCTATACCTAAGTCGCAAATCGAACACAAGAAATTAACTAAACAGTCACAACTCACAATACTTACAATTCCAGCTGTTTGACGTCAATCACTTACCTACAACTTACCTTCATGTTACGTCAACTTCTGAATAGAAAACCTTGACAATAGAACACAAAGATCACTTCTTAAAGAATAACCATCATATCCCGTTTTCCCGAAACCCCCCAATACGTCAAATACAACTCGATTTATTTTTATTTCACATAGAACTGCGTCACGTTCTTATCACTTCCATTTCTATTTAACAATTCAATAAGTTCATAGGTCTCGCATTGAAATGCTAAAACGTACAAGCCACTTCATGTAGCATAGCCTACTATTCCAACTTGTTTCTACACTCCACCAGTGATATCCCGTGTCTTTCGAGGGAAGGTCGACTTTAGACGTAAAAAAAATTGTAATCTTCTGTAAAAATGTACCAAGATAACGAAGTTGGGGCTAAGTTGGAGAAGAACAAGTTTGAGAATTCTATCAGTGAATTGAAGAAGAAGACTTTTGTTTCGATAGCTGATATCGCGAGCTATGGTGAGTCTAATTTCTTTGTGTTGGTTGACTTTGAAGAAGATTTGTATGCGGACAGTGATTTTAAAGAAGAATTGTTTTGGAGTTGTTTTCTTGATAGTATTGAGATAGTTCTTTATTTGTGATGAGATAATAGTTTATATTTTGGTTTAATTATAGGTAATTTAAATTAGTTTTTGTGTTAATATGTTACGAACGCGGATGGTCACTTGTGATTTTGTAATGGCCGCCACTATATGCGTCTGTCATCATGTAATATTTCTATTAATCGAGTAGCCTTAAAAAAATCTAAAGAAATGAGCACAATTTTACTAATTACATTGTCGTTTTTAATACAGAATTAATAATATGAGCTGATTCAGCCACTTACATCTTCACTTTTGCTTATCCTTATATTGTTTATATAGAATACAATCAGGCGTTGCTTTCCGGAAATCCATGCTTCACTAACAAATGGGAAAATATTTAGTTTCTATTCCACCTACGGAATGAATTTGCAATTTGCAGCATGTTTTTTTGCTGTTTTTTACTTGGAATATCCTCTTATAGTTCTAAACATGATTATATTATTTATTTAATCTTTAAAACAATGCACTTATAATATAATTTAAAAGTCTGTAACGTAAACAAAATTGTATGCACATCGGAACAAGTTTCTGTAAACAATCTTTAAGAACGTAATATATAGCTGACTTCGCAATACGTAATTTCGCAATACTTTTTGTTTGTCATAATATTTATTTGTTTATAACCATTTATATTTATACAATTAACAACGACAAATACACGTGTTATCTATGAATACTTAACAATTATTCTATAGTCAAATATGAAAAATAATCAATAGTTTACTGGCACACTGGTCAGTTACTTTACAAGCTATTAGCATATTATTATTAGTAAACTTGGTTTAACTCGTCGAGTACCGTATTTATAGACACAATTAAAGAACAATAGGTCGCGGTCACCGGTGACCGCTTGGTGTTTGACAGTTTAAAAACTATTTGGTAGGTGTAAAGTAAATAACTATAACTAACTATTAAACTGTCAAACACCAAGCGGTCACCGGTGACCGCGACCTATTGTTCTTTAATTGTGTCTATAAATACGGCACTCGACGAGTTAATATCTTATAATAACCAGAAAGAAGTAAATACGTGCTTACGTAATTTAAAAACAAATTAAAATTATTATATAATAAGATTTAACTGAAATGTTTGCCTTGCTTATGGTCATAACGCGAAACTCATTCATAACATACCTAACTGTTGAAAAGAATCACTCTAGCTGCCCAGTCCCCAAGCAGTCACTGGTGGCCACTCTCCACTCACTCCATTAAAGACCTTATTTCCGATGTTCAGAGACTACTTTTGTATGAACAAATGCTGTGGATTACATAAACGGGAATCTGAAAAACACGAAACTTATGCGAAATTCTTGCGTTCAGTTTGACAATGGACTTTATTCCATTGTGTAAAATAATATAAATACGTACAGCTACATAGATACAATGCTATTTAAATTCTTGATATTGTTCCACAACACTTAAACGCCACATAGGTCACACATGACGATACATAACCCTTAAACGCCACATAGGTCACACATGACGATACATAACCCTTAAACGCCACATAGGTCACAGATGACCGGTGTAAACGGAGAATTTGCCTTCAACCAGTTCTTTTGACAATTAAAGGTAGAGACCGGTACCCACACAATGCTGTGGTTTATACATAAATTAATGACTGCTTCGTCGGCCGAGTGGTCGCAAGTGCTACTGCCGGGCAAGGGGTCTCGGGTTCGATTCCCAAGATGATGATTTCCAAAGAATTACTGGGTTTTATAAAATTCTCAGTAGTAGCACGGAGTCTGGAATTGTGCCCGGTATATGGCAATAGGCTCACCCCCTATTACATGAGACTCATAACATAAAAAGTGAAAAGTGGGTTGGAAAAACATTGTGTGATGATTGATGCGATGTTATGTTATGTAATGATCAGATCAATCATTGAAGCCTCCTTAGCCCTTACTAGGCTATTCTGTAAGATGACATTCGAAATTCGAAGTCAGCTCAATCACGGTCCGCCATGTTGATTGGGAGAATAAATTCGACCAATGACAGGCGAGAATGCTTCGCGACTTTGAAACTTTGAGAGTTCGAGTACATCTTATAGAAAAGCATAGCTGGTCTGAGGTAGATCTAGCCAATAGCCAATAAGGTCACTCCTAGGTCTCAGGGTAATTGATTGACCTTTTTTGAGGGGGTAAAACCATCCAATTACTTCTGAGTGAGGTGAGACAGTGTCAGACTCTTAACTGACTTGACTGCATTGTTAGCGCGGTGGCTGGGCAACTGGCTGCCGCGCAACGTGTCGCGGGTTCGATTCCCGCACGGAACAACCATTTGTGTGATCCACAGATTGTTGTTCCGGGTCTGGGTGTCATGTGTATGCGATATTGTATGTTTGTAAACGCACCCACGACACAGGAGAAAATCGTAGTGTGGGGCAACGTTTAAAAAAAAAACCTAACTATCCACTCCGTTCTTACTCCTGCTTTGAACCGGAGCCTCGGTTACACGTTATGTTCTACGCAGCTTATTTAATTGACCTGGGAATCGTATACATATCATACAGTGCTCGCCTGTAGATCTGGCGACCATTGAACTGTTATTGGGCTGTACTAAAGGGACAGTTTCATACAACAGTCACACTTGTAACTAGCAACGGTTGCATCTGCTTAACCTTTAACCACGAGTTAATATCAGCATTTAATTTACATTGTGGACATTTAAGTAAGTCTGTTTTAATTTGTATTTGCCTTACCAAATCTAATTTGTTCCTTATATTATAAATTTCGTGAGACATACTCAATTAATTGTTATGTTTTCGGCTTACAAACGTAACTGTTTGACGAGGAACTCGACTAGTTTCAAGTCATGCTGGAGGCTCATATTCATGAGCAGCATTCCGCGACCCGCGACGCTGCGACTGTCGCGCCGCTACGATTTTTTTTTTAAAAAACGCCAGCATTGACTTTCGTTTTAGAATAGTTAGTTTTTTTTTGTTTTGCTTAGAGCCAGGATTCCACTAACTGCCAACTTCAATAAACTATCTCAATCCTGAATCTATGAATTAGGATCGAGTTTTGACAACAACTCCATAAAACTAAATTAACTAAAAACTGCGGGGTACTCACGTGAATATACTGTAGGCTGCGCGACATTGCCGCGACTCTTGAGGAAACCCTCTGTGGTTCGAAACTAGTAGGTAGAGCTTTTCTCAGTATATTGACGTGAGTAACCCGCGGTTTTTAGTTAATTTAGTATGTCTCACGATAGTTATTGTAAATCCGTACAACTAATGACAAAAATTAATCCTTATCTACGTATTTTGAATTTAAGTAGTATTGAAATTGGCTAGTTTCCTAGGTTTAAAATAAATTGTTTCAACTTTTCAATGCAAGAAATAATTAAAGAATAATCATACTCTCATCTATTGATTTGTCAATTTACCTACTTTTGGATTTTTTCTCGATAATTTTAAGGAAATAAGTATGCTATTTGACGCAGAAATATGATGACGTCATAAGTTGCAAACCAATACAAAATTCATAGAAAACTATCGTTTTTGACATTTCAATAAAAGTATTAAATTTGACTACCTGTCAACTACCGTATTGGCAGTAAACCGGTGAAGTGACGCGCGATGCGGAGATGTTTTAAGTAACCAATAGAGTTACATTATTCACACTGCTCCTCTTCTGCAACTTCAGTGGAGGTCACTGATTGGTTGTATGTAATAACATCTCCAATCTTCTCCTCTTGTCTCCTCTTTGGTGTAGTCCAGGCCTATGAAATATTTTCAACGGATTTCATTACCAATTTTGGCCTTTATTGTAGACTCACCTATTTTAAAAATCCTAAGGCCTCAGCCTTGACCTAAGAACGGCAACATGGTATAGTTTGCTTTGCGAAACCTTGTGCGAAACTATAATTCAGTGCTTTGCATATGACCTTGTATCTAGATTAAATCTTTTTAGTTAATCTAGGTCGTGACTTTAGCCTACCTACATATTATTATTCACTCATGGATGCGTCTCTAGGTACTGATTTTTATCTGAATTCATTCAGTAGCTGAAATGTAGCCTTCAGTTGTTCTCATGTGGCAAGTACATACATACATAACTTTACGCCTGTCTCAAATGGGGGTAGGCAGAGACTATGGAACGCTAATTGCTACGATTCTTACATACCTCTTTCGCTTCATCAACAGTCATCAGTCTTTTCTTGCATGCTCGTCGTTTAAGGGTACTTTTAATTTGGCCCTTATTTAATATTTAGCCCTTATTTAATACTAGCTTTTACCCGCGGCTTCGCTCGCGTCACAAAAGGATAAAAAGTAGCCTATGTGACATATACCAATACATACAGCGCCATCTATACCAATACTTTTGTTTTCCCTCGGGAATATCAAATTTTTTCGGGATAAAAAGTACCCTATTATTTAATCCAGACTACTAACTTTACGTCTGCAAAAATTCAATGCAATCGGTTTAGTAGTTACGGCGTGAAATCGGAACAAACAAACAAACTCACTTTCCGATTTATAATATTAGTAAGGATTTCGCCAATCTGGTCAGTATATGTCATGTATCATATATTCGTATTTATGGCATGTGGCAAGTACCTAAGTAATATACATTGATTGGCAATAGGTACCTATCCTTGCAAAAATCAAGTGAAAGTTCTTTATGACTTAGATCTAACAAATTGAACGGATAAGCCTAATTTTTATTTTGATGTCCGTCTGGTTATTGATTATTTTAAATCATTAGACATGTATTTTTTATTTTCTTACAGAAACAAATACTTTCGACGATATGTTGATTTGAAATGTCGCGTGACGTCACTTCTATGTACATTTTATACGTAGAAATGACGTTTTAGCCCCCACTCCTAAACTTTGATTTGTTTTATCTACGTATTGTTATATTATACG